TTGTAGAACAGTACTTTATTCAGAAGTGCAGGTGATAAAAGGCCAATCTCTTGTTGTGTAATTTGCACATTGCTAAAAATTTCCTATGGTACTGCTCATTGCTTATTTTTAATTTGTAATTAATTTTCCTAAGTGGAAATTTGTATCACTTTCCATAGGTAGAAGCCTGGGTTAATAATCTGAACTTTAGATTTCTTGTTCCATTGAGTTTGCATTTTTCTTACTTAGATGAACCCCAACACAGGGTGCAAAATGGCTCAGTGGAACAAGCTTATAGACAGTCACCATACATTAGAGATCGAGAGCCTTCCAAAGAACAGCCATCATCGTTCGCTGAAAAGGGTCTTCCACGACAGAGAAGCGTGGAAAGTGACCAGTTACCAAATGACGTTTTACGACGCCCGTCTAGAGATTATGAAACTGAAAGCAGGAGGCGGTATTCAGCAAGTGACGAGTCAGAAGATAGCATGGTGTACCATATGCAGAAAGACTTCACACCGGAGGGACTGTCTGAATCATCACCGAGGCAGCTGTCGCAAGACATGGATGATGAGAGAGATGTTGATATGCCTTACGTTATTGGTCAGTTTAACTTGGAAAACAAGCTTTACCGTAAACCATTCTTTCTTAACAGGGCTTCCACATTTTGTGCAGAGAATCATGGCAGTTTGCTTAAGTTGCCCAAAAAGTCAAATCTTAAAAGGGCCATTTCATATTCACCTAAAAGCAGTTTAAAAAGTCGTTCATCTAACAATCCACGTTCTGTTATTTATGAAGAAATAGCACTGTAATAATTAATTTTCATTGTCTTTTATTCAGACCAGTTCATAATTTTGCCATGTAGGACATTCAGGCACACTTTCATGCATGCTGTGCTGAGGCTGCCAGTCACCAATCATAATGAATCAAAGTTGACTGATACCTTTTATTAGTGAAGAGTACAGAATGCACCTTTAACTCATAACTACGTACTGTTGAATGCATACTTTCTAAGTTGAGAGAGCTATTGTGACTGTGCATGTTTAAGGACTCTCTAAGTATTGTGTTAGCTTCAGAAATACCTCAGAGGGAAATCTATTTATTACATTGAAAAGCTCTTTGTCATTCCTTTCTTTTTTGTTAGTCCGTTCATTTGGTCTTTTTCAACTTTCTTTCTAACCTCACTCACTAAAGATCTCATTGTGGATTGCTAGCTGCAGTACTGTGATCTTTTCTCTTCTTTTAACTCGCATTGGATCAAAGTGTATACAGAGTTCACAGTTTGCATGAATTTGTGGTGGACCTCACAAGTAACAGCTGATAATGCTCTCTTAAGCATTCATGCTCTTGTCCTCTCTCAAGCAGAACACAAACTTAAGAAAAAACTTGCATACATGTATCTTTGTAGAGGCTGCTTCTTTAATAACTGTGAGCTGTGTTTGAGTTATTTTCTCTTGATACTTTCTTGTACTATGTCTCTCTGTCTTTCTGTCTTTCTGTGGCATCAGTGGTATTAGTATCTGCATGGACAAATTTTCTAGTCAAGTTCTCATTATAAATTTACCTTGTGTATGGTGCATGGGCGATTTCTGCCTTGTAAAAATTAAACTCCTGGTTTCATTGTAGAAACCAATAATTTTGGCTTTGTATATACTGAGAATCAAGAACAGTAAATGAAAACTACAATAGTCTTTTGCTGCCCTTGGTGTGTGTTTTGTGATTTGCCAGTGCTTTACTGTCTTTCACCACATTAAACATATGCTGTGATCTCTTGTCTGTCTTCTTTATAAACACTTCTTTTCTTTGTCTTGCTCCTGGAATGTTTTTCATATATATTTGCGGGAAGAGAACATGGTTATGTCAGGTTGTGAGTTTACCACAATAATTACACCATTTTCAATGATATACTGCAGAAATGAACAGTTGTCATTTTGAGAGCAGTGACATCCCTTTCGACCTATTTCTATTGTCTTTCTTCCATTGTCCACATGCCTTGTTCATGACCAATGCATGTTGAGTACAGCACCTCTCTGCCCGTTGTGAGATGTAATATCCATAAATTTGTGAACTACATGTATCATCTAATCCACATCCAGGGAAGAACCTGGCGACAAATACATGAAGCTTGCATTAATGAGCCAAACTTTGCCTTAAATATTCTGTGATTTCGGAAGGGCCCTGCAGAACCCTCTTAGAATGACAGATCATTCCCACATCATGAAATGTACAAACAAGCTACCATGTTGATTTGCTTAGTCATGTTGTAACTAAATCAAAGTGTTCCAGATATTGGAGTTATGTCCTATTCTCATTGTTTTGCTAGAGTGTTTTCCCAAAAAAGTGTATGTTTGGAGTGTGCTAGAAAGCTAAGGGTACATTCCCTTGGGATGATTCAGATCAGGATCAATGATCCAAGATCACTTAGATCACAGTGCATCAAAGGAACCAATGAATTCCACTCTGGACAAGGATTCATCGGTTCTTTTCATGCACCATGATCCGAGTTATCTTCGATCATTGATCTTGATCCAGATCATCGTAAAGGAATGTACTCTAAAATAGTTGTCATGCCCGAATCCAGATGACAAGGTTTATTTTTACCATCTTAAATATATAGCGAATCATTTACCTTTTGTTTGCTATGTCTTGTCTTTATTTCGTATGGACATTTTTGAAGCAAAACAGAATCAAAGCTAGGCAAAGGATTTTGTTCTTTCCTGTATGCTGACTAAATTTGTTTTTGTGAGCTATGATTTTATTTCTTTGCTAATTAATGTGTCTGTCATTTAATTGTCTTCAGATTGAAATGAAGACCTTGGTGGGGGATAAATCATCAACAATAATAGATTGTGGCTTTAATTTCTATATTTTTGTAAAGACCCAACTGAATAAGTTGGTGCTCCTTTTTTAAACTTGGAGATAAAATTTCTGGCATACTGTGATTGCTTTTTGTTTGGTTGTAAATCGTTGCATGTTTAAGCACATTTAGAATTTTTAGCGTTTGTGCCTTTTCAGCACAATTCCTCAACTAAGTCTACTTGGCACATATTTAACTAGTAATAAGATTTTTTCTTAGAATGCAAATCAATTTTCAAATCTGAGACAAAGCTGTTAATTAATTGTTTTTCTTTTCAAGTTGAATTTTCATGAAATCAAGATCATTAAAACCCATTGACATAAATAGAATCAAATTTTATCATCTTATGACGTTTAGCGAGTATGATAAATGTGACAGTTGAAATAATTACCATCCAGTTGATGCAGTCTCTAAGAAAAGAGAACTGTCTAAATTTTGCTGGTCAAAAATGATTGTGTCCAGGAGAAAAGTTGTACGTTTTAAGCCTGTTCAAGGCAGAAAAACAGGTCTTCAACACAGAGGTACATTTAAATATCATGAAATAGAAATTCAAATTCAATATCATTTTGATTCTTATCAGAATAGTCGCTTTAGATTTTGTATAGTTCATTTCGCTAGACAGCACTGTAATCTTTTTGTTAATTTCAATTTACTACAGATCATTTTTTTTTTTATTTAGAGGTGGATCGAGGAAGCCTTAATACCCCCAAAACCTTTATATTTAAATAAAAATACATGTGCTTCTAAGTTGTGGAGGGAAATTTCAATATGTTTTTGTTTTGTGGAGTGTTCGTATTGTATTGAGAACTTTTGTCACTGATTCATTTGCAAGCCAAGGTGTCATGCTGTGTAACTATATAATAAAGACAAGGTGAATTATTTAGCGGTTGTGAATTCCTTCTTTTTTATACTTGGTTTATGAATTACAAATAAAAACTAGACTGAGGTGTTTATGCTACATAGAAACTGCAATTTTTCAACTTGAGATTACTAGGAAAACTGTAACATTTTTATCATTTTGTCATGGATTACTGTGCCATTTTTGTGATATTGTTTTTCTTTTGGTTTACTCTGTAATTTGCTCAGTTTTGTTTCATATTGCTTTTTATAGTTTAAAATGCTGTTGGATTTTATTGATAAGTGCTGAAATTCTCGTAAGCTTTTGTAGTGTTCTCTTTGGATCCATTAGTGATATCTTGTGATTTGATCAGATGTTTTAATTAAAAATTCAATCAGAAAACACCTGCTATTTCTCAAGCTGGGAGAAGTCCATTTTCTGAGTCCTAAAACTGTCCCATTTGTAATCATGAATCGTGCTTAAGTATTTTGTAACTAGAGTTTGTATTGCTGGCCTTCGTGTGTTGATTAAGTTTTATTTTCTTCCTCAAATTCTAGATTCCACATTAAACTCCCAAACACTGCAGCAAGTGAAGAACACAGATTTGATTGCTGAATCTCAAGGCAAGGGTAAGTGATATTCATGAAATTTGCATCTGTTTACAGAACTCTTTTACGTGTCATATCCACTTTATCTTGTTCTTCAGCATTCCTGTAAATTTTCATTGGTGTTCTGTACATTGCATGAGATTGTGCCAACATTTCTGTTTCAGGTAATGTGCATTTTATTGTTTTGATCCTTTCAAAACGACTATAATTTAAGTCTGCAGATGGCACAAAATTTCAAAAATTTCACTCAAGGCCATAACATTTTGACAGAAAATGTGTTGAATTGTAAGGGGTGCATTAATAAGTTTCTTGGAGGCTAAGATACTGTGTACAGAGCCTTTGTGAGATTTATGACAAAACACAGAGTAAATTGGCAAAGATTTGGGCTTTTTCAGTCAGTCAGACTTTGAATTTCTTGTCTCCATTCTCTAGTTTTTTAAAGTTTCAAATAATAATAGAAGTATCTTTCTGGTGGGTTACCAATGAGCTTTGCAACTGTTTAATATCATTCACAATCATGTGGATTTTTATTGTGTTGTATTTCTTCATTGTTTCTCCACAGTGGGAAATAAGTGCAACTAGCCATAATACTGATATTTTTTTCGTCTGCAATAGTTTCATCTGAGTGTTGTTAAAATGAAATACCAAAATAAAAAGGAATAGTACTTTTTAATCCCTATAACACTTTACAACCCATTTAACATGCTGCTGTATTGTACACGTAGTTATTATGTGACAGTGAAAATTTGTTGTATGGGGCAGTGCTTCAAATTCAAATTATATCACTTTTGATTCTTTCTAAGGAGATAAGACACTGAAATGGTGTCATGTTATTGTTTTGCTTTTAATATCTTTTCAGAACTTTAATTTATTGCTGGTTTAAAACTGCATCCAACTTGAATGACTCAAACCTACTTCAAAGAATTAGCATACCATAATTTATCTGTAGATCATATATTGTGATCATGAGGGTAAGGGTAGTTCTGAAAAGAACTGTTGTTGGTGACTGACTCTTTCAATCAACAACCTGGGCAAAAGTCATCTTCAGAGTCAAGTCAATAGTGTTTGTCAGTCAATGATGTCTTGGTCTGGTCTGTTATCAATGTAAGGTATAGTCACCGTTGCAGCAGCTGTCAGTTTCTGTGTTCCTATCTTCAGTTTCAGTAGGTCGGTGGGTGTTTTGTCAGCATCGTAGTTCTTGTGAAAAAGACTTTTAAAGTGCCTGTTTTTGTCAGATAAGCTGTCCGATGTGTCAGAAGCTAGTTGCGCTCCCGCTTGTCAGTCTTGATAGTCATGGCTTTGTGTGATACAATTATAATTATAATGATTTATCTAATGCTATTGCCAGTACTTTATTTCCAGATTTATTTATCTACAGCTGAACTAGTTTTTCAGAAATTTGGACTTGAATCGGGCTAAAAACTTTTGAACAGAAAGGGGTCCAGCGCATAGCCATAGTACATGTAATGTTTTCAGAAACAACTTGCTACCAAAAAAAATTGTTTTGTTTCATTCTAAATAATTTTACTCAACAAGTGCAGACTCATAGAATATATCAAAGACACCCAGTTTCAGCAACTTTTATTCAGTCACACAACTTGTGTAATAAATTTCCTATTAACAAAGCTTTCTTTGGACAGTCATTATCATCTTCATCATTTCCTTGTCTTCGTCTGGAGTATTCCTCACAGATACTCTGTCTGCTGCCTCTGTCCACTGCAACCCACAAGTGAAAACCAATTATCAACCTTCCCTCCTTCTCCACTTTCCTAATGCCTCTCTGGGTCTGCCTCTCGTGCATTTTCCTTTTGACACCTATATCAGTGCAACTACAGGGTGGAAACAGGCTTGCATAGTTTCTACAGCTCTTATTCAATTACCAACCTGTGTAGTGAATTTCTTATAAGTGATGTTTGCTCTGATCTGGAGAGCACTGGGTGAATATTGCCCGCCCCCAGTCTACCTTACTATCAAGACCTTGTACTGATATTTTCAGTATGGTATTGCCTTCATGCTTGGTTGATATGATAAATTTATTGATTGGAAGGATGATACAATGTTGACATCGAAGGTTTAAGTTAAATCATTAAATGGGACAAGACCCAAGAAAAATCAGCAGGCAAGGAAATTGTTAAAACTTGGGGCCAATGGATTTTTTTGGCAGATTGGCAGATTTTCCCATTAACTGGCAAATTCTTGGTTGGCTTCCATCAGGCTAGACAGTACATATTGTCTGGAGAATCTATTTTTGTTGCACCTTGAGAACTTTTTGAATCTAATTTAAACCGTGTATAGGGCTATTTAGATGAGAACACGCATTGATACTAGCAACCTGTACACCATAACTGCTTGGAGATACCGGTATATTATAGTGTATATTAAAAATAATGCTGTTATAATGGTATCTTTTTCCTGTGATGTTTAATTAACAAGTAGAAGAGTTTACTGTGAACAGGAGTTTTCCAACAGATCAAAATAGACTTTTTGAATAGGAAATGAGCGCATAATTATTATGCATCTTTTCCAAGAACATATAAGGTCTCACTAACATGGAAGATTGAACTTGTTGTGTTTTGACTACAAGCTTGAGGGACCATGAAAATTTAATCAAAAGAGAAAAAGGGAAGGAAAAAAGAAAAGAAAATACATAATAGGCCATTTCCAAGTTGCTTGTTACCTCTGTTTCAAGTCAATCTTTGTGTGAAACCATTGAATTGAAAATGAGTAAGATTTACATAAAAATGAATGTGCACTGGTCCAAACACATTTTCATATCAAAAGTTTCGAACTTATTCTCATTTTGACACATAGGCAAATGGCAACTCAGAAATGGCCTACTGCAATTAAGATCTCCTGATAACAGTTTGGCACATGAAAGTATGGGTAACTGAAATTAGCTTCTTAACTGTTTTACACCACATGTATATTTACAATATTAAGTCTTCACAACAACAAAAATTTACTTGTGATGCCTTAACTTGCTCCTACATGTGCAATGTTTTTTTATTTCAATGTTTTGTTGAAAATTATTCCTTATTTGTGTGTTAATATTTAATTTAACCATATTACACTTATAATTATAATTTCACTACCTGGGAATTAGAAATATTGCTGCACAATTTTCAGTAGTATTGTCTGTTATGTTTTAGATGAATCAGAATTTTTCCATTTATTATAATTAAAATAATTTTCATGCATACATGGCAAAGGATACGCTACAAAAAGCACATCGTAGAATTTTGGCACTGCTGGGAATGGATAATAAGACATTGAAAACTTACACAACACTAGCTTTTGAATATGCTGCTATTGAAATTTAAGTTTTTCTGTCAATCAGAGTGGGAAATACAAAACATAATTTGCACTTTGGTTATGTCTTGTTGTTTAATATGTGTAATATTTTACCACCAATAATAGACGTTTGCAAGGAGCGGGCAGCAAGAACCATGTCAAATGTTCCTAAATGATCAGATCAAGACAATTTTATTACTGATCAGTGATGATTACACTCTGAATATTCTGAGATTATAACAAAAAAATATAATTATTCATTGTGGTAGAGCAGTTAACATCTGTCTTGTTTTTAAGACATGAATTGAAGGAACACTTATGAGCTTTAGTTTGTCTTATCTAAAAACAGTGTCTGAGTAACACTCAAGAAACTGGCTAGTCTGGAACAGGTGCTTTTTTTGTTTTAATTGTATTCAAACTGTCATAGATATTGACAGCAGGTTTCTATGTTTACATAGGCATAAGAACGCTGCTGTTAAATTTGAAGCCAATTTACCTCAATTATGCCAGAAGTTCTCTCCTTTTGGGGCATTATTGAGGAGAGGATTTTAAAATATAACCTGTAAAAGCCTTGTTTAGATCAAATAGCAGGAGATCAGACCATTATGGCAACAATCCAGGTCTCCATTTTCATTCTCTTTTTGTCAAGATGAACAGATTAATAATTTATGCAAGATATCCCAAAACATCCTGGCATTGTATTTACATCAGAATTCCTGTTTAAGGTACCCGTAACTTGCCAATGTGGATGATTTTAAAATGTATCATGCCAAAATGATTTTTGTTTTGCCTGATCAGCAATTCAAGAGTAAAAACATGACTTTAAACTTGTGAAATGTTTATTCATAACAGAAATGTCGCAGGGTGTTAGGTTTGGTAATGAACTGCATGCTTTTATGTGGTGTGAAAAGTGACTAGAACAAAGTTATATAGGCAGTGCTTTATTTTGCTCCTTTTAACTTCATTGTTTTATTTCTCTAGACAGTAGCAGTTCTGAGGTATTTGCATCTCCTGACCGGCAAATTCGTGTTATCAAGTTCAACAAAGAACCGGGAAAATTATTAGGTGAGAAAAGGAGAGAGCAGTTGTTACTATTTTAGCTTCATTTCCTGTTCTTTGGGTAACTTGTTAGTAATATTCGTGTGCTGCATTTATAATGATGCCACCACATGATCTGAAAATCTATTTTTCTGATCGAGAGTTTATTCAAAATAGTACTAGCTTTTGCCAAAGTTAAGTGTGTTGCAAGAATTTTACGGTTGCTGTTTCAGTAAGTAAGTAAGTAACCTTTATTTAAACACGATAAGTAGTTAAGCTTGCAGCTTGTGGGGTCGTGTATAAATAAAAAATAAAGAATAGTTACAAAATAAGAATTGAAAAATTTACAAAAATTAGTACTAGCTTTTGCCAAAGTTAAGCATGTTGCATGAATTTTACGGTTGTTGTTTCATAGTTCTTTAACTTTAATTTATGCTAATCATGTTTAGTTTCTTGGTCTTGAATGGAGAAGCATTTAGGTGAATGTTTCACAGGTCACTGTGTTGCAGTAAAGAACTCTGTGAAATTGGAATAAATGCTTTTATTGTTAGTAACTAATATTTTGGAAGTCACTAAAAGGATTTAAGACATTGAACTAAAAAGCACATGTAGTCATGCCAGTTTGACTGAAATTTAAATTACTCTCGCAGGTTACCCACATGTGAATAAAACTGGATGTAATAAATAAAAGAGTGGGATCTCATGATTTAGCTTTAACCATGTTTTTGAGATGTCATACAAGTCAATGTGATGCACCCAATCGATTTTAGACAGTGTGTTGTTGTTGCTTGATGTTTTTAAGCCAAAAATTTACATTTTTCAAGGAGCATCTCTTCAGAGTGCCACCAAATGGACTTTTAACAAGGTGTCCTGCATTTAGTTTTAATAGTCACCTGGGTTTGTTCAAGTTTAGAACTTGACTTACATTGCACAATAAATACTGTAAAGTTTATTTGTCTGTTGCCATTTCACATATGTTACCTAGCAGAGATATTTGAATAAGTTGATGGCATGATGCAACATTTCACAACCAGTTTTACACATGCACATTACGGCAAACTAATATCATGGTTAAAAATTTGAATATTATTCTAAATTTGAATTTTAAAGATCTTCTTCAAGTACAGTGACTTTCAAGCAAACAAACCTCGTATTAGTATTGCACAAAGTGTATACTGTAAACATCCACTTGAATTTAAGGTCCATACTTTGGTGGATATTACAGTCTTTGAACATCTTACATGCAAGCAAACATTCGGACAAAAGAAAACAATATTTTATTGAAATGAAAGTTTTTCAAATGAGGTTCTATGGGAAAGAGGAAGAACTAAATTAACAATTTTAATTTATACTTTGTCCTAGGTCATGCTGGTGCATTAAACATTACTAAATAGTTTGACATAAAGCATCGTAACTTGCTTTTCCATCTCAAAAACTCTGGCAATATTGACAACGATGGTCTTAGAAATTAGTGTTTGAAATATCACTACATTGACAAGTTGGCAGAAAAAGACACTTAAGAAAATAACTAAGTGACCAGAAGCTGGACAATATGCCTTCCTGTTCCACCAACTTCCTTCAACTTACATATGTATATATACTAAGTCTTGAAGAATTGATTTTAAGAGTTTGTAGGTGAAAGGATTTTAAGCAATACTCAGTCAACTGGTATTATTATTGTTATATGCTGGTAAATCTCACACAAATTGTGTGATTGATTTGTAGGTTTGTCAGACATAAGAAGTGAATAATTTATATCTGCATGGTACAGTAGGTTATGAATAAAGTTAAACATTTCTCCTCATCAGAGCCTTTTTCTAATAGCTCTTGCTTAGAATACATTTTAATTTTAAATTTTGTTTTGTATGAAAATCTGCAGGGGAAAAATAAGAGAGGAAATATGTTGACATTCAAATAATAGATTACATGACAGAAATTCTAGGGAAGGGGTGATGAAATTATCAGTAAATATTAAATTGTGTTATTTTAATTTGATAATGTTATCAACTTTGGGCATAGATATAGCTTCTTCAAGACATAGAGGCTAGTGCTGTTGTTTAATGTTCTAGGAATAACTGTTCTTGGTGGTGAAAATTCTAAGCGACTGGACCTCGGAATTTATGTCAAGTCAGTTACTGAAGGAGGTGCTGCCTGGAAAGATGGCAGACTGAAGGCTGGTAAGATCACAACATGTAAAATTGATTTCTGTTGTTATATAGAATGTTTTGGTCTGTTTCAGGATTTGAACCTGCATGTTGCTAATCCTGCTCAGCCTAATTCTTCTAAAACCTTTTCTGTAGACATTGGGGCTTTTTAGTATTTGAGTCATTGAATCAAGACAGGCTCTACAAGGAAAGAGCATATGATGTTTTAAAATGTTATGACCATTTGCAATCCATTCCTTCTGTAATTAGGTGACAGAATTTTAGCTGTAAATGGCCAAAGTCTAGAGAGAGTTACACATGAGTATGCTGTGTCTATCCTTAAGAACGTCACAAGCCCTGTGGAACTTAAAGTATCACAGAGTTCATATCTTGTCTCTTCATTTGGTGAGTTGTTAATATTGTGAGAATTTTTTTTACTGCAGCCACAAAACAACAATGCATTGCTTACAATTTTTACATGACAATACCACTTACACTACAATGCTTAGATGTACGCTATTAATTCAAAACAAAGTGCTACTTATAGTGATTATAAGAATTTCTATTAGACTGCAATACTTTTGCTAATTTTCTTACAATAATACAAAACAATGTACTACTTACAATGTTTACGACACAATACCACTTCCACAACATTACTTACCCTAATTTTTGTAACAATAATATTATTAGCAATATCATGTTAGAGTGTTGGCATTTTGTTTACTGTAAAGTTGTGAGAAGAATGTCTCACCAGTTTGAGATGTGACGGTTAATTAGAGTCAAGCCTGTGCACTTGCATTTTCACAGGGATGTTATGAGTATTTGTCCTTATTTCCAGTTTCCATCACAGAAAACAACAAGGAGGATTCTTATCCCCCCACCTCCTAAATATGTGATGCAGTGAGGTAGTCCATCTATCACAGGTTATCCTCCTGCAGAGTTTACCAAATCATTGAAACATAGATATCATTAAAACTACTGGCCTTCTTGTTCACAGATCTTTCCAATATTCCAAATGCAAGCTCAATCAATGAGGAGCCCCCAAGCCTTGAAGTCAAACCTCTGACACCACGTGACACAACAACAGCTGCACAAGAGAACCGACAAAGCCAAACACCAAAAGACCCTTCTCCAGAGCCCCACCCTTCAACATTAGCATTTCCTTCAGAGGATGAACCAGTGACAATGATTTCTAAATCAATTCCTCCATCTGTAGTGTCAACTTCTTCATCAGCTTCAGCAAAGCAGACAGACCGCAGACAGCAAAGGCAAGGTGGGTAAATTTAATTTGTTTCATCATTATCATTGCTCTATGTGCTAGTAGGCACATAAGCCTGCAACATCCTGCCTACCATCTCTCTACCTCTACTGTCCTCCTCCACGTCTTTTTAGGTCTTCCTATTGCTCTTCTACCAGGCTCTGGTCTCCACCCTAATGCCACACTGCAGTCATAGGATCTCTCTTCAAGCCGTATTATGTGAAATACTAGTCCAGTGCCATCTTTTTATCTCGTCTTCAATTGATTTGTTTCAGTTAAATGTATTTTAAGACTCCAACAATCATATTACATCCATAAATACATGCTTCATGCAGTTATGGGCATGCAATATCTCCTATTCCTCTTGGTTTCTCATTAATTTTGTCCAATTATTTGGCTTGCAGTTTTTCTGTGTTAGCTTTTCAAGCCTTGACATTTGTCAGTGTTCAACAAAAAACAAGTAACTGTAGATGAAAATTTTCATTCATTAAAGGTACCATTTCACGTCTTAATGTTTACTCTTTCCTGTTATGTACAGATTTTGTTGATTCACAAAAGGCTATGCAAGACAATTCCAGTTTAGAATCAGCTGATATCAGAGAGCCTAAAACTCAAACAAGAGGTCACAGTACACCTTTTGAGGCAAATGTCATTCAAAGTTCACTATTGTCAGCAGCTGTCCCATTGGTCTCTGCAAGTGTTGCAAGCCCCCAGGGGGAGTCCCCTGGTGCAAGGCAGGAATCATTGAGTGGAGATGAGAGTGGAGTCTACAGTGAAGATGCCTTGCCTGTGAGTGTTAAATGATTTTGCGATGTAATATGTATGGGTTATTGACCAAGTGTGAGGTCAAAATGGCTGGATATTGGCCAAGTTCTTTTTTTGCGTGTTTATGGACGGATACGGAGTCAAGGTCCATAAACAC